CTGGATAGTACGATGCCTCAATTCTGTTCTTTCATGAAATAAATATATGCTATTAATGTTTCTATTTTATATTATTTGTTTCATTGTATTGAATTTTATCAGTTGGATGTACAAAGTATCTATTTTATATATCAAGTTTATAATGCCTCTTTGCATTTGATGCTTCCTTTCATGAACTCACCATCTTGGTGGTTACAACTTTTCCAGATTTTAACATTTGTATGCCCCTAGTTAAGTGATATTATATTTCATTTTTTCTTAATATTATTCTTTATTGCTTTATTTTCATTTGGATAGTACTTTGGTGGGTGCTGGTTTCCTTTATACGTTTACATACTTCTATCATGTCTATCTCTGTGATATTCTGTGTATAATATATGTATGTAACTTGGTTAAGGAATACACGTTTCTCTTTTCTGCAAAGGTGCATCACCACTAATTATCTATCCCCCGTACACACATTAACACATTAACTAATTTCTGAGCAGGACTGAAATATTGGTGTTGTCTGTTTCGGTTTTGTCAATGTGATTTTTTTTAAGGATAAACTACATTTGTGAAGATTGACAAGTGCTGACATTTGTTAGAATACTGAGCTACATGTTGGAGTGCACAACCTTTTTGCAAATTGTATATTGCAAATTGTCTATATCTATCTCTTTGTCTCTCTATCTGTCTATCCATACAAATTTGCAAAAAGGTAGTGCACTCCAATATGGAGCTCAGTGTTATAAAAAAATTCAATATCAATACATATATTGATACATATGTATACACATATATATGTGTGTGTGTTTGAGTGCACTCGGAGGACTACAGTGGAAAAAAATTAATATGTGGTTTGAAATGTGGAGCTGTGTATATATGTATAGTTACAAAAACAGCATATATATTTACAGATTTTGAAACATTTTCAGAATTTATTAGATTAGTAATCTGTCTGGACTTCACAGAATCAAAAAAAAATAATTAAATACTCTTGCTTGTTTTAGTTAATTTTCTTTTCCTTATTCTTAATAAAAAAAAAGTTACACAGAATTACTACGATATTTATAATTGCTTGCCCTGCATTCTCCATTGATTCTACCTTTTAATTTGATTCTCTTGTTTGAAAGAGTCAAAAATTCCGTTTATAGAAGGGTTTGTTCTGTCAGTCTTTTCTGCCAATTTATTCTTTAGTTTTGCCTTTTGAAATCCTGCAGGTGCCTACTTCCTGCTGGTTGGCCAAGTGCAAACCTCCCACTGGGAATTTTACTCAGCCAGGTGTCATGGCTGCTACCCTGAATGACAAACACTAAGTAGAACCTGTCAGAAGAATATTTGCATTATGGGTTTGCTTAAGATTCAATGTGTTATAAAATAGCACCGAAGATCTTTTAATAGTGACTAAGCATTTCTGAGTGTCTTTTAGTCTAACTTACAGTTAACTAGCTCTTGAGGCCTAATGTAGGTATACCTAATGACTCCTAGGCTCATGTTCCTACATCTCTACACACCTTTAACCATAAAGCAAGCATTGTCTTTGATTGTCCATCAAATCTAATCCATGCTCAGCGTGATACTTGTTAGCATAATTGCACCGAAGAAACCATAAACCATTATGCTTTTTTTTCTCTCCCTCTTCTATTTTTTTCAGAAATGACGTAAACCATTTTGATGGAAAGGTCACTGTATTTATCACGCTAATCCAGCATTTATGGATTTCTAACAAGGAAAAAAAAAATATTTCAACCTTGCGTGTTTTCATCCTTTTGTGTTACATGAAGGTTCTGTCCAAAGCTCCAAGAAATCTTTGTAATAACCACCATTAGCCTGATATCAAATCAAAAGAGACTCTTGGCTAATATTGAAATTGTTACAATTTGGAACTTTTAGTACTTCTGCTCCTGCTGTTTTAAATTATGTAATTTACTGTACATATTCACACATGCTACTTTTATATGTCATTAACTGGGGCAGAAAGTTACAAGCTTCTCTGATATGTATGTGCTATAATTCTATTTTTAAGGGAGAATGCGCAAAAATGTATTCTGTGTCAACTATATTAAAGAGTCTCCAAAAACAGCCTTTGTGTTTAGGTATTTTCAAAAGAACTTCATGCAGACATTTAAAAGTATTTCTTTTGAATTATGGATTTATGTGTTATCTATACTGTACTTTGTGATATAAATTGCAGAACTTTGTTTTATTTATGCTTCCAAAGCAACAATAAACCAGCAAAACCCGTGGGTGCAAAACCCAAACATTGAATCACTATGTAAATTGCAGGGAATATAAATAATTGGAAAAAAATTCATTTAAAAAAAAAAAAATATATAAAAAAATAAACAAATAAATATATATATATATATATAAAGTATATTTTATATACCGTTTTATTTATTTTGTAATTCAGAGTTTCATCTGTGGCACCAAAAAAATAGATAACTGATGTCTAAGTGACAGCCACTAAATGTTGATTTTATTCACAGACCAAGTGAGAAGTCAAACCAATTATTTTTTTTGCTATGAACAAGACTAGTCCAGCCCAATGTTTTGCAGGAAGGCTTAACATTTGGAATAACATTTTTATATGTCTGTAGCACTTGTTTAGGTTATATATACGAGGTTAAAGAGGTGAAAATAAAGAGGTAAAAATAAGATTAAAGTATGCCGCAAGGAATCCAGCAGGTCTCTTTTCCGGTGTATGATTAACACCCAGTTTATCTACTCATGTGAAATGTGGAACTATGAGGAAAAAAAATTTATTTTATATTTTAATGCTAAACAAAAGTCACCAGCCATCCATCCCCTCTGTGCTGCTTGAGCTAATGAAGACACATTAGCCTGAACAGTAATGTGCAGCTGTGATTGGCTAAGAGTTTTAGCTGACCACTAGGGATGTACATGGGCAAAAAATTTGGTTCAGTTCGGCACTTCCGAAATTCGGGTCTTCGGCAATTCGGCACTTCGGCACTTCTGAAATTCGGCAATTTGGCAATTCGGCACTTCCCTAACCCTACTCCTAACCCTACCCCTACCTCTAACCCAACCCCTACCCCTAACCCTATCCCTTTCCTGTTTTGCCACTTTTATGAAATCTAAAGCACTTCAGCAATTCCAAAATTTGACACTTCAGCAATTCAGTTCAGTTCACCACTTCCGAAATTCGGCAATTTGGTACTTCAGCAATTCGGTTTGGTTCGGCACTTCTGAAATTCGGCCCTTCGGAAATTTGGCAATTCAAACATTCAAACATTTGGAAGCCTCCGAATGTCAGAAATGCCGAAATTCGTCCAAATTCACATTCAGAACCAAATAAATTGCACATGTCTACTGACCACTTTCAGCCTTTCATGGTGCCAATTGCAAGTATTAATTGGTATGGCTACAAGGGAGTGTCTAACCTCTGCTTTAGCCATACATCCTGTAGTGGCCAGGCTATGGGAAGCTAGGGATCCTCAATCACTGTTAAACTGCTTGAAAATGTTTTTACACTGAATGGAGGGACAATGCTAGGTGACTCTGGACACTATGACCAATTAAATGAGAGGAAATTGTGCATATAGTGTCCCTTTAATGACTGTTCACCATTTTGTTCACAGCTTCCATCTTATGCAGAGTTTCACTAAAGGTCGATGACCTGTTTTCTAACACATATGCATTTTTTACATTTTAATTTTAATTTTATTTTTTAATTCCTTATTTATATTGTGATTTGTTAAGTTCGGAAATTGCCCACAGGTATATACAGATGAAAGTAAAGATTAAAACTTTATCATTTATTGTTGTATTTAAAATAAAGAACATCTTTAAATATCACACAGTGAGAAAAAGTTACTATCGTGAAAGAATATATATAGATTTGATAGACCCTCTGATGTGCCTTCAAATATAACAGTTTAGCTTGGATGCAAGTACAAGATAGAACAAAGCAGTACATTTGTTTGCATAAATACTGCACATTTTTATTTTACATCATAGTCAGACTAAGCAAAGGATTATGCAAATAAAACCAAGATGACCAATATTTTCTATGAGTGGCAAAGCATAAGTGAGAATCAGACTGAACATACTGATAATATGCATCATATTTATATAAGAAAGCAAGCTTAAATGAAATATGTCTAGGTCTTGCGATTAACAGAAAAGCGGTAGGAATTATCGAATAACTATCTGCTTTATCCCCCTGACAGCCTCTATTCACTGCATCTGCGAACACTAAGTTGAGTATATAGAAATTGCATAGGGACCAACAAGATCACAAATAATAAACAAAATATTTAAGAGGAAATAGCTGTGAGGAGTGTTAAAATTAAATAAAATGAAAGCTACTTAAAGGGACACTACAGTCACCAAAACAACTTTAGCTTAATAAAACAGTTTTGGTGTATAGAACATGCCCCTGCAGCCTCACTGCTCAGTTCTCTGCCATTTAGGAGTTAAATCACTTTGTTTATGAACCCTAGTCACACCTTCCTGCATGTGACTTGCACAGCCTTGCTAAACACTTCCTGTAAAGAGTCATTTAAAGTTTATTCTTTCTTTATTGCAAGTTCTGTTTAATTTAGATTTTCTTACCCCCTGCTATGTTAATAGCTTGCTATGCCCAGCAAGAGCCTACTGTATGTGATTAAAGTTCAATTTACAGTGCAAGAGATAAAATTGTTTGAGATAACTTACATCTGATTGAAAGTGAAACCAGTTTTTTTTCACGCAGGCTCTGTCAATCATAGCCAGTGGAGCTGTGGCAAGGGCTGTATAAACAGAAACAAAGTGATTTAACTCCTAAATGGCAGTGAATTGAGCAGTAAAACCTGAGAGGTATGATCTATACACTAAAACTGTTTCATTAAGCTAAAGTTCTTTAGGTTACTATAGTGTTCTTTTAAAGACACTTTCCACATACGGTAAAATATAGGAGGTGACAAAATAAATGAAGTGAGTACCAACGCACATCTCTACTCAGCCTATGCCTTAAATGGGTCTCTACCATGCAGTCCAGCATTGTGTAGAGGTACTTCAGGCCCCATAATGCAGATACTTGCAGCCAATGCTGGAAACATGTCTCCCTCAATATATTCACAGACAGTGCCATTTCCACTGTGGTCGTCGATATGAGATTTGGCAGATCGCAGGTTACAGGTTGAGCAGCCTGTCTCTTGCGGTGGAATCTGGCCATGTTTAAGTTCAGTTGTGGATAGGCATATGCAGGCGGGAGATGTTACATGCTCTGTCTCCATTTTCTTGCTCTCTTTACTTCTGGAACTGAAGGTCTGACACCATAGGGGAGTGGTTGATCGCTTGCTCAGTAGTTTGTTATCTCTTTAAGTGCCAGTGTCCTCCAAAAGGCTGCAAATATGCTGTCTCACTGCAGGAATTGGGGAAGCACGTGGAGTCCGCCATGTTTTGTTTCTCCATATTAGCAGTTGGCACTAACAGCACCAGTCTCCGTGCCCAGCACAACTGCGTTGCCTCCCAGGAGTGGACTGAGATCACCCCCACCAGTCCAGGGGTGTAAGAGGACAGTGGATACGCACTGCCGATGTAGGGTCGAGGAAAGAGGCTGCCTCTCCCCAGCTCCATCACACGCAGGCCGCTGTGAACCACCTTAGGCTCCTGGTAGCAAAAGTACCTCGGAAAGGTATCCAGATGCTCGTCAGGGCAACCCTGACGTGGGTAATACACTTTGGCATTGGTCCCAGCTCGGGATCCATGAATATTCCCAGGAAATCAGCCGATTAATCGGGAGCTCTGTCTGCATGCACCCGCACACCTGCAGTTTTTGCTTAATTCTTTCTTTTTTACTTGTTTTTGTAACAATTTGTGTTGTCCTTGTCTGGTGTGCTTCCTGGAAACAGATACATAGAGGTATCCTTGGTTGACCAAATGTTCAGAAAGGTTCCTGCTTATCTAGTTATGCCAGAGTATAATAAATATTCTATGGTTTAATGTTAGCTTTCAATATTTCTTTCCTAGATTTCTTTTGTTTTGCTTTATTATTCATAATTTTGTAATAATTTTGTAGCCAATATTTAAATTTTGGTTGGGGCACCACTCATAAACTTTAATTATCTGCTGCCTGATTACACAGTGACCCTTTCAATAAACAAAGAAGCAACAGAAGTGTGGTCTGACTTCATATGTAATCCAACAATCACTAACAGTATTATGGGTAATGAAGCGGTCCTAGTCAGGAAAGTAAATGTTGTAGCATACAATCTCAACATCCAATATACCTAGCCATCTGAGAGATAGTGTTTAAGTAAAAAAACATATTTTATTAGTAAGGTTTATCTTTTATTCAATTTTATATGTATTAAATAGATATGGATTCAATTTTAGTTAACATTTATGGAAAGCTTTTTAGAAGCTATATCCATGCACATAAGCTTTAATATATGTTTATCTCTTTTTCATGTTGATTTAAATGCTATTGGAATGCTTTCTACACTTATTTGATTGCCCAGTTTTCTCTTTTAGCATGCAGTTTAATGCTATTTATTTTCCACCTATGGAGAGTTAAGAGGTATTAGTATGTTCTCAGCCAGGCCAAACCTCAGCATTCAGAGGCCACTCTTTAAAATCTTTCTACATATAAAACATTACAATACTAACATAAGTTCTTTAAATAGAGCAAAACACAGGATCCTGTTTATGGCAACTTGTTATCTAAAATATACACAGTCTACAGGTATAGTTTTTATTTATCTTACAGAATGTGATTTTCAGGAGAAAACAGCAATTATTTTATAACATTTTCAGCAGAGGGAATAGTATGAATAGCTGTTCATATCACACTTGAAATTCTTTGAAAAACCCATACCTGTCAATCTTCTCTGTCCACCTTCTGGGACAGGGGTAGGCAGGGAAGAGAGCAAGCTGTCCAAAGCACTGTGCAGTAGAAGGCCTGCCAGTCAAGGGGGCTCACCTACTTATCAAGGATGTGGGGCTGCCTGATCAAGGGGCATGCACACTTCTAAAGAGGATGTATGGGTTGATGAAAGCCTACCACCTTCTCAAATTGCTCTCTGTGCTTGGTCCTAGTCCCCTCTTAAATTTTAAAATCTGCTGGCAGATTTAAGGTGGCACTGTCATGCTGAACTTACATGAGAACAGTTTCTCCATTCGTGTTAGGACGTAATTCAGGACTTTGTTCTGATCCAATTCGGCACTCCGCGACTGTATCTTGCAGAACTCCCTATTTCCCACGGTATAAGGGAGATATCTACTAAAAGGCTGAAAGACCTAAATTGGTCTTTCAGCCAAATTTACTAATACCAAGTAAAGATTACTTAGATTTTGTAAATTCTGCCCCTACTAGCTATATCGCAAGTAGGGGCATGTCTAGTAAACAGTGAGCAGCCTGTGACTGCTCACTGTTGTAAAAAAAAAAAAAACCCTAGTGTCCCCCCTCCCAAGCTCCCACCCGTGCCACGCAAGGGACCTAGCTTCAACTTCCGGCCCCCACCCATGAGCAGCGGGTGGGGGCCATAAATGAAAATAGGGGGAAACCTATTGTCCCCCTCAGCCCCACCAATGAGCGGTGGATGGGGGCCACAAATGAAAATGGTGGGACCTATTGTCCTCCCCCCAGCCCCCACCCATGAGCAGCAGGTGGGGGCCCTGAATGAAAATGGCGGAGGGACCTATTGCCCTTTACCCTGGCCCCCACCCATAAGCAGCAGGTGGGGGCCCTAAATGAAAATGAGGGAGGGACCTATTGCCCTCTCTCCTGCCCCCCCCCATTAGCGGCGGGTGGAGGCCCTACATGAAAATAGGGGGCTGGAACTATTTTCCTCCCCCCCAGCTCCCACCCAATGGCGACAGGTGGGCGCTTTAAATGACAATGGGGGTGGTGGCTAAATATAACCCCCCCAGGTGACTAGGGATCTCAAAGGCCCTAGTCACCCCCCCACCCAAATAAAATGAAATCAATTCCTACCTACCCACCTCACCGTAAAAATAGTGAGGTTGAACAATAAAACTAAATACCTGTAAATGAAACAAACTTACCATTTGATGTCTTCTTTTTTCAAAAACCCTTCTTTTTTCAGCCCCAAAAAAGGCCAAATAAAAATTCATGGGTGGGGCCCAGGGGGCCACGGGGGAGGACAATAGGTCCACCCCCCAATTTTCATTTAGGGCCCCCATCCGCTGCTCATGGGGATGGCCGGGTGGGAGGACAATAGTTCCCCCTTATTGTAATTTAGGGTCCCCACCCACCTCTCATGGGTGGGGGCTGGGGGGTAGGACAATAGATCCCCCCTTATTGTAATTTAGGGCCCCCACCCACCACTCATGGGTGGGGACCGGGGGAGGACAATAGGCTCCCCTTATTGTAATTTAGGGCCCCCACCTGCCGCTCATGGGTGGGGGCCGGGGAAGGAGAACAATAGGTCCCCCACCATTTTTATTTAGGGCCCCCATCCGTCTCTCAAGGGGAGGGGGGCGGGGATGAGGACACTAGGTTCCCCCTTATTGTAATTTAGGTAGGGGGGACACTAAGGGGCTTTTTTTAAACAGTGAGCAGCCATTTTAACCTCCCTTATGCTATTATGGAGGAGTGAGGGAGGACATGGGGGACTTAGGAAGTGGTGGAGAGAACCGCTCCCTGTCGCTTCTATTTTTACATATTACAAGGAGGGAGCTACGTGCTGGTAGCTCCCTCCTTGTAATAAACCAAACGAGCAAATGAAGGGTCTTCATTTGAAATTTCTATTCATTTACTCTTCCTTCTGACGAATGAATGAATAGATGAAAATCCTGTTTGCATGTCCAAGTGTTTAACTGGGCATGCGCAGGAATTTCACAGCGCTATCAAGAGTGGGCAGATAACATGTCCCACAGGGACTTCATCTACCCACACAAAGATGGCGGCACCCAGGAACTAGGTCCGGACAGAAAATAAAGATGAAAAAAAGATAATATGATGGGGCTTAGGGGCATTTGGGGGTGACTATGGGGAAAATTAGATGTAGTGGAGTCGGAAGGGGGGTTAAAAAAAAATGGGATTCAACCATGACAGTGCCACTTTAAAAACGGTAGCCTAGATACCAGGAACCAATATTTACTTAAACAGTACTCCAAATGCGGGACTGTCCCAGCAAATTTAGTAATATTGGCACCTATGCAACTAAGTTTACTGTCAGCTTCTGAACCTGTTTGCTAAACAATATATTTAGTTATAACCTCAACAAACAATATTCTTAATATATTTTTAGTTATCATACTTGTTCATGAGCATATATCCAAAACAAATTACTTTTCATATCATATACTTTTCATAAAAAAAACATATTGCATTGCTTTAGAACCAAGAAAACAAAGGATTAAGCAAAGGATTAGCAGTAGTTACTTACACCATAAGGCCACAAATAAACAAAAATAAGTTATTTTGCAATTCCTTCAGAATCTTTAGTGCAGTCATATGTATATCTCATTGGTATTCTCAAAATGAGGTATATCCTCTCATATAAATAGAAATTCTAAAAACATCACACTCTACACAATTGTTCACACATTTCTAATCAGAATCCCAAAAAGCACCTGGATTTTGAAGAAATACGTACATCACTTCAGACAAAGTGATTTCAGGTAAAATTCAGTTGATAAATTTTTACAGACTGGTGTGCTAAGTCTGCTTTGTTGTGAATAAATGCCTGTTCTCTGGTGACTTTTATTGTTTTAACGTTTTAAGACTTAAAAATTACAATGGAAAATAGCTCAGTCATGTATAAAAAGAATAACAACGTATTACTAAAAGATAATTAGATCTGGCACTCAACCATGGAGGTGCATCAAAAACACAGAAGTTCCCAAAACACCGAAATGATATAATATACAATACAGTGGGACCTCGGTTTACAAATGCCTGGGTTAACATAATTTTCGGTTTACAAATGAAAATCCACTGATCGGTTTACAATTTTTTTTCGCAATACAAAGCAAGTTTCCCCAGGATGCATTGCACCTGGGAGGTTTATAGCACCGCCCCCTGCATGCTGGAGCCTGTGGGTAGCATGTGGCGTAGAGTGTGGAGGTGTTGGAGCGGCTTTTGCATCGCGTTTTGGAGCCATTCTGGAAACTGTCTGCAGTTGTTTTGGGACTTTCTGTGCATTTCTCAAGCTGTGGAAAGGTAGGGAGCTGAGCTTCATCGTTTGCATGCCTTTTATTGTGTGTTCTGCATTGTGGGTTGGTTTCCATGCCAGCTCATTTTGACTTTTTTCTGACCTCCAGAACG